CGTACTTCCAATTCAACGGCCAAATATATGAACAAGTCAAAGGAACACCTATGGGATCGCCAATATCAGGTTTGATTGCAGAAGCAGTGATGCAAAGGCTCGAGAACATAATTCTACCAAAGATCAAACCCAAGATTTGGATACGTTACGTAGACGACACATTCGTAATTATCAAAAGAAACGAGTTAGATAAAGCTCACAACCTGATAAACAACGTCTTCAACGACATCAAATTCACAAGAGAAGAGGAATCAGAAAGCCAAGTCCCATTTTTGGATGTCTTAGTCAAGCGAACAATGACAGGAGAATTAGAAACTCAAGTCTATAGAAAATCAACTCACACAGACCAAATCCTGAATTACAACAGCAACAATCCAATAGCACACAAGAGGAATTGCATACAAACACTATTCAAGCAAGCCAGGACTCATTGCAGCACTCCCACCTTAAGGAAAATTGAAGAAAAATATCTCATGGACGTCTTCCAAAAGAATGGATATCCACGGAATTTCATCAAAAGACATATACCTCCAAGCCAACCTATCAAACCAAAAGCCCCCAAGGAAAGCACAAAGAAAATCGCCTTACCATATATAAAGGATATCTCAGAAATCACTACAAGACTCTTCAAACCTTTAGGAATTGACGTCGTACACAAACCAACAAAGTCACTTCACTCAATTCTATGTCAACCAAAAGACTCAACAGCGAAGGAAGATAAAACCAACATCATCTACAAAATAGATTGTATCAACTGCGAAAAACACTACATTGGCCAAAGTGGACGTCCCCTTCGTCTTCGTATCCACGAACATAAGCTAGCTGTCAAGAGACATGATATCCACTCCCTCATATCACTACATACAGACAACCACGGACACACCCCTTTGTGTGTGAGGTTTCTTTCTTGTTGGTTGATAAATTTTGTCTATCTCGATGTGTCTATTGATTGATGATTCACTGGAATGCCAAGATTCTAAGAATTCTCTAGCATTCTTGGTGCTTCCTCTGTCTAATATTTGAACGTTGTCCCAGTCGAATTGATGTCCACTCCCTCATATCACTACATACAGAGAACCACGGACATCAATTCGACTGGGACAACGTTCAAATATTAGACAGAGGAAACAACAAGAATGCTAGAGAATTTTTAGAAGCCCGCCCGGTATTTCAGTGAATCATCAATCAATAGACACATCGAGATAGACAAAATTTATCAACCAACAAGAAAGAAACGTCACACACAAAGAGTCAAAGTTCAAGTCAAAGAAACAATGAGTGACAATACAAGCAACCTAGAAGGTGTGAAAACAAACAAAAACAACCAATCACGTCCAAGGTCGCCAGGAGAGATGATTAATAAACTCGTGGAGAAATCTAAAAGCTCACTTCAACTCAAATTGAAGTATGCGCTGAAGATGTCACCTAGTAGGGTGATGAAAGCTTCGCAAATCAACTATCCAGCTCAGAGAACACAGTCACATCAAAATACCTACCAATGAAATCAAAGGATAAGAAATAGTTTTCTTATTCTTTTACTTTCGAAGTGTAACGAAGGGCTTCAGGCTGCACCTTTGAATTTTCTGTAGCAGCGGTGTTACAACAGAAGACAAGAGTCAAGCGACAGATCGTTTATTGTGGAAATCGAGAGATATTTATATATTTTTATGTATATTATTATTTGTTATTATTAATTAGCAGAGAAACAGTGTCTTCTGATTGGTTGTCTTCTTGCTGAAAGTTATTCTGTCATCTGTTTGTAGCCGTTTTTTAAAGGTTAGAGCATACATCTGCGAATCGTATCCGCCCACGGAAAGTCTGTTGTGGTTGATTGTTGAGTTAGTCTTTGTTCTTGTTTTTCTTTACATGACCAAGATATGGGACGTAAACATTGATGTAAATTGCTGCTGTTTACCAATTTTGGCTAGCAGACAGGTTTCATCACAATGGTTTTAATGTTTTGTGGGTTGGGGTTGCTAGCCTCACGCCCAACTTTCTCTCTTTACTCCTCTTACTACCAAACTAGTGAGGTTTAGGAGTACGTCGAACGAGGATCGATCCCTAGACCATGTGCATGGTTGGCGGAGAGTCAACTACTGAACCAGCGACGCACAAATAGCCCAACTGTCCCAATGGTAACGCCTCTGACTGCAGAAATTGGTGACCCTGGCTGGAATCTCAGTTAAAATATGAGTTCCTTGAAGACTGCAGATAAGAATTAATGGAATTACATAATCACAGATTGAGAAATATGTGGTTGATTTGATATTTTATGATACGTCATCAGTAAATAATACTGTATTCAATAAGCATGATATCAGAGGTTTCTTCAAAACATCAGACACGCACACTGTACAAAGCAACCTTGTCCATATAAAAGACCAAATCCTTAAAGATTATCTATCTAATTGTGTCTATAAAATAAAATGCTTGGCATGTGATGCGATATACATCAAACAAACATCATGATAAATCAAAATCAGAAGATATGAACACCAGATGGCATCTAATCGACCACCACGAAATCCAACTGAACTAGAAAAGCTTCGAAAATCATTAGTTATAGCTTGTCTACGCACTGTAGAATCAGGTCACAAAACTGATTTGTAGCTCAGGAGGATGATTTTGATGTGGTTGTGTTCTCTGAGCGCTGGATAGTTAATTTGTGAAGCTTTCATCACCCTACTGGGTGACATCTTCAGCGCATACTTCAATTTGAAGTGAGCTTTTAGATTTCTCCACGAGTTTATTAAACATCTCTCTCGGTGACCTTGGACGTGAATAGTTGGTTTTGTGCGTTTTCACACCTTCTAGGCTACTTGTATTAGAAGTGATTGTATTTTGACTATAACTTTGACCCCTTTGTGTGTGAGGTTTCTTTCTTGTTGGTTGATAAATTTTGTCTATCTCGATGTGTCTATTGATTGATGATTCACTGGAATGCCAAGATTCTAAGAATTCTCTAGCATTCTTGGTGCTTCCTCTGTCTAATATTTGAACGTTGTCCCAGTCGAATTGATGTCCACTCCCTCATATCACTACATACAGAGAACCACGGACATCAATTCGACTGGGACAACGTTCAAATATTAGACAGAGGAAGCACCAAGAATGCTAGAGAATTTTTAGAAGCCCGCCCGGTATTTCAGTGAATCATCAATCAATAGACACATCGAGATAGACAAAATTTATCAACCAACAAGAAAGAAACCTCACACACAAAGGGGTCAAAGTTATAGTCAAAATACAATCACTTCTAATACAAGTAGCCTAGAAGGTGTGAAAACGCACAAAACCAACTATTCACGTCCAAGGTCACCGAGAGAGATGTTTAATAAACTCGTGGAGAAATCTAAAAGCTCACTTCAAATTGAAGTATGCGCTGAAGATGTCACCCAGTAGGGTGATGAAAGCTTCACAAATTAACTATCCAGCGCTCAGAGAACACAACCACATCAAAATCATCCTCCTGAGCTACAAATCTTCTTTTTCATACGGATTTCTGTGTCCAGTGCACATTTAATTCTCTCCAGGATGACGCAACATAGTACTTTACTTGGCATAGACAAGATCAAGTAATATATATATATATATATATGTATATATCGATGGATGATTGGTCAAATTGCTGATTGGTCACATCTATGCATAAATGTGAATATTATAGGTCAATTAATAGTTAGGTAGGTAGGTAAATATTCTAGGCAATATGCTTATTTTTGAACAGACAACACGTTGATCATGAGGATTTCAGTGAGAGAAAATGACACACTGGTTAGGTCTTGATCCTTAAAAAATTGAGCGTAAATTTATAGCAGAACAGAACAGACAGGTCATATACACACACACAAACATACACAGTGTTCTACTTGGTGAGATGGATAATAATAAATGAGCAATGAAGAACAATTAGAAGTCAGAAGACAAAAAAGAACGAACTGCAAACATAACAAGAAGATGACATACAATATATATTTGTCACTTGATCATTGAATGAATACATTTCTTCCTCAGTGACACGCACGCACGCACATGCACATACACACACAGAGAAAGAATCTACCAAGTTCAAGCAATCCGTATGTGTTTTATATAGAATAATATTTCTTTGGAGAAAACAGAAAGGAAATCCTAACAGAACAAGCAAACAAACAAAGATGTGCGTGTATGTGTGGGTGAGTACGTGCCAGCTGGACAGATAAAGAGAGAGAGTGAGAGACACACTCACAAACCCAGAGACAGCGGAAGAATGAGTGATTGAGTAAGTCTATAAATGACTGAATAAACGAATGAGCACATTTCGGTTAACCCCGTTACTTATTATTATAGAATATAAATAAAAACTAACACGAAATGTCATTGAAAGTTTTTAAAAAGATTTTCAATATATTTCTCAATGGGAATAAAAATTTGTAAAAAAAGAAAAAGTTTAAAAATATACTTTCTGTAATAAATAATATCACGGAAACATATATACAATATACACATATGCTAATAGGCTGAACTCAAGTATGTCACATAAACACATAAACAAATGCATGCACAAATATGTTTATATATATGTGTATAAAATGGACGATAAAAAACAGTTGACTACAATTCAGGTAACACCATCCCTTGTTTTTAATTTTGTGATGTGATTATTTTTATTTGAAAGTGTCATTTAAGAAGGTATTTTTCATGCCTCATCATCCACACTACTACACAACATTTTACTCCGCTTCTTCTTCTGTCATGCCTATTTTATGCATATAATAATATCACAGAAAGAGGAGAGTAACATTTATACTTAATTATTTTCTCATGAACTGAGTATAATTGATTGAGTCTATCTATTCTCATGCCTATTTGACAATTCACAATTAATATTCATATTTGATTAATTTTGTAAAATCCCTTGTTAAAAGAATTACACATAGAACAAACAGACAGGCAGACAGTATTACGCATATTACGCAATCATCTACGAAACAAATATTAATGCATACATAAACATACATATGCACAATTATCAAGACTATTCGTCGAATGAATCCCCTTTGAGTCCACCAGTTGTTACACAGATTACATCATCTAATGTTGTTACAACGACAACAACACTAACAACAACGGCGGTAACTGGGACTATAAACACACCTTCGAAAAGTAGATTGGATCGAAAACCAACTAGAGAATTATCGCTACAATATCCAGGAATAAATCCAAATGTGTTGTCAACCACTGCTACTACTACTCCTGGAACAGATTTGCATAAAAATGATTCCGTGACGGTGAATTTTCTGGTGACTAGTGGAGATACCACTACTACTACTACTACTCCCACGCTTACTGGAAATATTAGTAGTACTAGTAGTGGTCAGCAGACCATTGAATTCCCTAAATCCTCTCTTATTGGTATATCACCGAAAATTTCTGAGTATATCTTACCAAAACCGAAGCGGCCTTCATTAATACGTAGAAAAGCGAATATCACAGATACAGATGCTTTCGATGTTGTTGTTAGTACAACAACTGCGGCGACAACAGCGACTATTACGACAATCTACTACTACTACTACTACGACGACGACGACTGGTATCAGTGCTAGCAAGAGTGATAACGGTGGTGGAATTGATTCAACTTTTCTCATGACTAAAAAGAACAATTCAGCAGATGAACAAACTCAAACTGTATTATCCCCCTCGACAACATCATTATCATCATCAGCAGCACTATCCTCAACATCGAAAAAGACTGATACTGCAAGATATCTTATGAATGAAACAGGTATTGAATGCAGTAATAAAGCGAAATCATCAACGCAAGAAAAAATATGTCCACCGCTTCACCCGTGTCCTTCATCCTCTCCAGTATCTCCACTGGGATATAATCTACATCATGATTCTCTAGATCATTCACCTGGGAGTAAAAGTCGAGAGAATATCAACAACACCCCATCAAGCATTCCTGTGACAAGCAGCACTACAACAAACAGACATAAATCGAAAGATAATGAAACTTGTACATCAAAAACTGTAGTGAAATCAGCATCAATTTCACCATCGAAAAAGAATCGTTTAAAGCATCAAATCTCACAGCCAATGAATACACGGAATCGTACATCACGTAAACTCAGTACATCCTTATATTGTAATTCAGATACAAGTTTTTTATCTATGCTAGCAGCAAGTCGTCCATCCGCTGCTAAAGGTCTATTGGGTGTAGCAAGTGCAGCATTAGCAGCGGCTAGAGCTGGTACCTTTTTAAATACAAATGAAACACTTAGCACGCCTAGTAAGCTGGATAATAATAGTAATAATGCAAGAAGTTCACATTCTGCTGAAAGAAGTCAACAACAACACACTTATTGCCATTATCATCGTTACCATCATCCTGATAATAATCATCAAATAGGATGTGTCTACTGTTCTAGTTGTCCACTGAAACCGTCTCTTCACCACAGACAAACATTATCATCATCGGGTAAAATGAATTGGTTAGGTGAACAGCTATTGTTACACGGGTATAAGACAAGACGATTCTCTGATCCTGATCTTAATGTCACCGATGAATGCATAGATACAGCTTATTTAAAATTATTAATTTATTTAACGCATAAATCACCACATGCATTTTTTGAAGAAGATCACTTCCACTATTGCCCTGAACAGTTGTTAACTGAGAATTATATCCAGAATAATCGTAAAGCCTCTTTACATGATGTAATACCGACAACAACTGGAATACCACCTGTCATTGGCTCAGAGATGCCAATTGATGATCTGACTAATTTTAATACTGGAATTTATACAAGTCTGATGGATTTAAATGCAGCAAATCTTTTATCACCAGGTAATGATTTAAGCGAAATAAGTAAGTGCAATTCAACATTCCTCTTGAATACAGATCATTCATATTCTGATTTCTTAGAGGCAAAAGAGCATTCAAATGTATGCGCCTGTTGTCGACCAGGCATATCTCATCATGACTTGGACAATAGTAATAATAATAATCTACTGTCGACACAGTCCTATCAACATCCACAGCATCATTCGCCATCAATTCAACAGCAGAAACCAGCTGGATTGAATAAACATGAAATAAACATAAAATCTGGTTTGTCGAAAGGAAACACTGGGCAGACAGTTCCTGTTGGTTTCACACCACATGTTAGTAAGCCAAGACGTGCTGGACTCGATGCAATCGGATTAGATTTTATGCGTGCCAATGGTGCAAGACCAGGTAGGCTTATATCTGTGTTATTCTGCTTCTAATCTTTATTTTTATGATGGCTAATGCATGATGTATATAATTTAATGAGAATTTGATTATTAGATGTATAATAATGTTAATAGGTGAACTGCTACTGAGATTAGAACCGCGGGTCAGTGATGTGAATTTCGAACTTATTAAAATTATTGCCTCTGGGCTCCGAGTGGAACATACAGGGCTTCAACAGCACACCTCCATTTTCTCTCGTTTTCTGCAGTCCTCTTCAGTCGACCCCACAACTGTTTATATTTATTATTATATTATTATTGTTTCCTTTAATTCCTAGAGGAACATAGGGATTCATCCATGCGTCTCCATTGCGTTCGGTTCTCTGCTACAGTCTTCACCTGGCTCCAAGTCTGCCCACACGTTTTCATCTCCTCTTCACAACACCTCCTCCAAGTCAGCCTTACACTGACGACCAAATCGCCCTTTCCCTTTCGGGTTCCACTTGAGCAATGACTTGTTTAGTGATGTCACTTCATGGTTGGTTTCCTCAGAGTATGGCCAGTCAATCCACCTCCATTTCTTCCTGCCTATTTGTTTCACAATCGGGTCCTGCTCGGTTGGTTTGCTCATTGACACAGATCTCTGTTGCTGATATTTTCTGGCCGGTCATCTGATCTTGAGTACTGAGCGAAGACAACTGTTAATGGAGGCCTGTAGTTTGTTTGAGATGCTCTTTATGACGCGCAGTGCAAGTCTCTGATCTGTCTATAAGCTTCAATTTACTCCCCACACACGATCTCCTCCATGTCACCTTCTCACTTGTGTTCACTATGTTATTCGACGGTCTCCTCAGCACTTTGTTCGACTCATCCACATTAGATTCAGAAAATTCAATGATCAATGGATTCCTGGTTGATTCATTGTCAGAGTTTCTTCTGACTAATTCTTTCTCACCGACTGCCTATTTGATCTGCAATGTGGAGATAGTTAAGGCAACTGTTGAGAAATATCTACAGAAGGCTGTTGGAAAAAACTTTTCATGATACGTCAAATTTCTGAAGTTTCATGTATGAAGAACTGACTAAAAATTCACTCTTTATTTTCAGTGCAATTCTGTAGTGCAGAGGATTTTCAAACTGAATTTAAATCTATCTAGGCTTACGGATTCTGGTTTAGATATCTTCATCCATGCGTTTGCGTGTAACTGAATTGATTCTGTCTAGATAATTGAAGGTAGTGAACTGGGAAACTACAAAATCTTGTCTGGTGATCTTATCTTCAATTTCTTATTTTTTTTCAGCACTGATCTTTTTAAAAAGTTTTCATTCATGAATATATCAGATAATTGTTTTTTGAAGAGACGTCTACTTTAATTTAATATTAGTAGTATGGGGTGACAAAATATCTTTGCAGGCAAACGATGAATTTCTTTTCCTTTAGAAGTTTGCAGGGTACTGCAAGAGGCATTTTCAATCATTATATTGTAGCTTTTGTCCCTAATTAACCAAGTCAGGGGTTGAATTCAGGAGCTTTGGGTTATGACACCAGTTCACTGAAAATTCATTTAATGAGTTGGAATTTAGTCACTCGTGACTTTTCGGATATAGCTCTTTCCACTGGGATCATTGATGAGCACTGCTCATGATGTCCCTCGAAAGTGATTCTTTAACTCGGGTTGATTCATGACAAGGTCTACACTGAATTATAAATATAATATATGATGAAGAGCCTGTACATGACAAGTTAGCAGCCTATTTTTGATGAGGAAACTCTCGAAGGATTTGTCATCTAAAGACTAACTGAATAAATGAAGTTTTTTGAACAAGGCCTTTTACTAATCACGGAATATGCACATTGGATAACAGGAATTTTATAAAAAGATGGTTGCAGTTAAGAAAATTTTCTTTTCAAGGAAATCGTCAGCAACTAGATGATATTCGTGTATTTATTTATAGTAAATATGTGAGAAAGTTCCAGAATTATTAGTTCCGGCCAAAGGTTAATTTTATAAAATTACAAAGTATACAAGCAGGAAGATAGGATAGAAAAGACGTAGTAGGATTATGATTACTGAAAAACTTGACTGTTTGGTAACAAATTATGGATTAAGAACGTAGTAATAACAAAATAGGTCGGAAGTTCGGACATATAAAAATTTTAAAAAGCGGCAACGAAGTATAGTAATGCAAATAGGAATTACAAAACACGAAAATAACAGAAATAAACAGGAGGGTTAGGTAAGAAAGGTAATAGGATAATCATTATTGATGGGACTGGTTATTCGTGATGGCCACGGTTGGGACAACTTTGGACGTATTCCTTTTGAACACAGCATGGGCTTGCGTTTGGGATCACCAGTGCCTCAGCTATTCCTAGATGGCTTGATTTCACTGCCTTCGATAGGTTTGATTGGATCTTGTATATGACTTTGAAGGACCTTTCCAACAGATCTCAGTGTCCTGAATTATTCACCAGATGCGTTCCCCCTTTGCTAACCGTGCTGAATAGTTTTCCCGATCACGTTTTACAAGCGGACATATGCTACTGCTAATGCACTCGGCTCCACATGATCAAGTGAACTGGTATATACACGTCAAAGTTGCGGCTCAATGCGACAGCTTGACTTTCGAATGCTGCCTGAATTATTTCTTGCAGGAGAATGTTACTCGTAGGCTGGTGGCGAAATATCTTTTACTGCGAGACTTTGAAAGCTGTCTACGGAGAAGTTTTGCTTCGGTATCACTTTTAAATTCGAGGCTTAGTATCAGCATCTATTTTGGGGGCGATTTGGACCTTTTCAGGTGTTTTCTTTGGTTTTAGATTCTTTTCAATGAATCTGGGTGGGAATACATTTTCCAAAAGAATAGACACTGAACAAAGAGAACTCTTTTCGATAAATTCATCATCAGGTTCTACAATTATATATACATTATAATGAATGAATGAATTAGTCTTATGAACGACATTAATGTTTAAATAACATCAAATCAATAATATTGATAAATTACAGCTGAACAGCATCAACATCAATTAAACTGAATGTCAGAAGAATTAGGAAAGGTAATGGTACAAATTCATGAGTTTATAGTCTCTACTGAGGGCCAGGGCAGTAGTAGGGGCTGGACTTGTTTCTTTTGAGCACAGAGCACTGGTTGTTTGAGGCGAATTGCAATAGCCTCTGCTGTTTGGAGTAAGCGGTGCTTTGACGATTTTGGTAATTTGTTAGGCACCCGGTATATTATGGAGAAGGATTCGTCTACGCTGGCTTTGTGACCGGTTTGCACCAGATGGTCTAATATTGAGCTGTTAATAGTTTTAACTACACCTTTTTCTTAGCCACAGTGGGATATGTTCTCGAGCACGAAAAATCTAGTTCCTAGAGCAACGGCCAACATAACTCGCTCCACAAGCGCAGTTGAATTGATAAATACATTTTCCATCAATGTCCCTCGAAGACTACGCTATTCTTCGTCATTTAGCTGCTCAGTGACAATTTCGTGTATCCTCGAGGCAAGAGAGTAATAATTTTAGGTTTCCCATTTTGCTTAGAGGTACACAAATTTGAGAGTTGATATACTACTGTTCATCCGATGTTGGATTTTTGTAGATGAATCTTCTTAGCGACTTGCTAGCACCCCTACGCAATTAAACATCGAGAAAATAAAGCACTGAGTGAGTTTCAACTTCCACAGTGAAGTCGATGTTTGGTTGGGCGTTATTAAAGGCTTTGAGTAGGTTTTTTAAATCGCAGTTTTCATCACAATTAATGCAGGTATCATCAGTGTATCTCTTGTAGAGATGAAGCCTTTTACTAAAGATTTAAATCAGTTATCAGTAGCTTATAAACAAATGACGATATGAAGTGACTGAACACTATCTTCCGTACATTCGTCTGAATTTTTTCACAGTGATATTATCACTTAGATTGTCTTATATTACTATATTCTTTTGCATTCTCATTGGAAGATAGGGGATGGTGTTGTTCTCCTATTTTATGAGGCTAGGATTTCTAGTGTCACTCGCAGCCATATTTTTTTCTTTTACGGAGACTACCAGTGGCTAGGCAAGGTTAATGAGTGCGTTGGCGGGCGACTCATCCTCTAGTCACCTGGATGGTTGGCGACTATTCTACGGATAAACCACGGATATAATAATATACTCATTATAATAAAGGTATTTCTATTTTCCAATGAATGAAAAAGACGATATTGATTTTACTGACGTTTCGCTATTCAATGCTGCTGCTAATAGCTTTATCAAAGTAGTAATATTAAACCGGAATTTACAAAATCTCAGCATATATATAACAAAGAGTTAAGAGGTGAGAAAATAGACTACTTAGGTCAAGTTAAAAGGACATATTGAAAGTTGAAATAACAATGAAGATCAATAAACCAAATAACAAAGGTAATAAATAGAACATCTGTTATGGTATTAAAACAAAGTTTACTAACTTAATCATCTTTCGTTAGTCTGGGGTCGTTTCTCGTTGTCAAGTTGGTCAAATGATAAAGATAATGAAATCAAGTGTGGATTGTTGGATTTGATAAGCGTATAAAATTATAAAAGCAGCGTGTGTTTACATGATAAAATTGATTATCACATTCGTGTTGATTTTGCCACTTCATGGGGGAGGGAGGTGTTGTAACCAGGTAAAATTCTGTTTTAGTCCATCATTCCCATTCAGGCAATTTGGATTCCACTTGATATGAAGTGCTTCTGATATCAGACGTTCTTTGTGATTTCTGAAGTTTTTCTGGATGATGATTTCAATATTGTCAAAATCAATTTTGTGACCTGATTCTATAGCATGTAGACCTATGGCTGATGATTTTCCAAGTTTTTCTAGTTCAACCGGATTTACTTCTCGGTGGTCGAAGAGAGGTGGCTCTATGGTGTTCATTTCTTCTGATTTTGATTTCTCGAAATGTTTGTACGATGTATATCGCATCACATTCCAAGCATTTTATTTTATAGGCACAGTTAGACAGAGAATTTTAAGGGATCTGGTCTTTTATATGGAGAAGGTTGTTTCGTAGTGTGTCTGATGTTT